TTTAAATTTGATTACATATTTGGGGGTCTGTTTTTCCCACCAGTTTAAGGCTTTTAAAAAAGTTTTATATAAAATCATTTTACTCTCTGTGAAAATAGATTACTACAACATTTTTCTTTTTTCAAAATACCTTAGTTTCCATTCCATCTGTTTTCAGATGAAACTCTAGTGAGCATTTTTTTTAAAAAAATTCACATTTATTTGCAAAATGTTTTTCATATCATGCTTATGTTTTTTATTGTGGTAAAAGCATATGACAAAATTTACCATCTTGCCATTTTGAAGTGTCTATACAGCAATCTTTACTATATGTTCATTAGTGCAATAGAGAGCATTTATATTGCATATCTCAGTTGGTCATAGATGTGCATGAAACAATTTGAGGAACCTCAAAATTTAAACCATCCCACCTACAATGCTTCTGCTCTTTTCCTCACCAAGTCCTTAAAACGTACTATGTAATCAATGCCCTTGCTACCCTTCTGCATCACTTACTCTGTGGCTCCTCTATAGTGTTTGCAGATGGCCTTGCATCCTACCTGTTGCTGTGAAAACAGATTCAGACACTTGCAAACCCAACTGTCGTGACTGTGGGCCCTCAGCAAAGTTGCATTGACCAGAGGAAAAATCTTTCTCGCTGTTGCTCTTGCTCTTGTTCCTTGCTTATTTGTGCATGCACACTTTGGCCATTCAAGAAGTAATCTAGATGAGCATCGAACTCCCCATCTCACAAATGCTATTGTGGATACTTATTTCCCCACAGACTGCAGGAGTAGAGGGCAACCTAGAGCATTCACACCAGAATCTCGAAAGAAACGCTCTGCTCAACGCAGCTACTCTGGCAAGAAAAAGGTGGACCTAAGTGATCCACTTAATAGGTATGTATAGAAATATCTCATTTTTATAGACTACTTATGTATGATAGGCTTCCATTCTGCAACTTAATTTTTTTTATAGATACTACAGTTGGCTCATTTACATGTAAGACAAACTATATGAAAAGGCACAAACACAGATGAATTCCATATGTTTGAATTCCATTTCTTCTGGAGCAGTATATCCAGGAAATTTATCTCAGTAAAGTGAAGAAAAACTTCATGACATTGATATTATTTTTGACTCCTTATATCACATCATCAGTGTTGATAATTTTCAAACTTATTTTGAAAATATGAAACAGCAAATCGTAAGAAAGTGGATACTATTTATTGTTAAGTTGATTTTTGTTCATGAACAGAGTATTGCAAGGAAGGCTTAATTCAAGGCCAAGGTAAAATATTTTTTTTAATTCTTAAAAAATTGGGAAATAATCTTATTTTTTTACAATCTCTTAGGACTTCTTTCATGAAATTTATAAACTGAGTTAATATGTAGTTATTCCTTTACAGAGTTTCTCTTCCTTATGTACTTGAATACTTTGGAAAATAGCAAGTACATTGTACAATGATATGCCTAGTAGTTCTTTTTCACCAAGTAAACTTTCAATATGTGCTGGTGTAATTAAATAAAAAGAAACATTGCAATTCACAACTCCATGGACAAGGCAATTTCTTTCAAGCAACTCTGGGTAGTGTCTGTTTTTCATGGCTGGCTGCTAGGTGGGATTTTATTCAGTTAAATTTAAATACACTGTTGGGTTCCATTTTCTCTACTGTATGAATTTGTGAAGTGTGTAGAAATGAGAAACACACAGAGTCTGTCTTTTTGGGTTTAATATCTAGGAAGAGAGAGGTATGTGTGATATGGAGGATGAAGATTTTAGAATCAAGCACACTCAAGTTTGAATACTTTTCCATTGCTTGATAACTATACAAAAGATGTCAAATTTCCAGGTGTGTTTCCTCTGCTGTTAAGTGGTCATGTAATACTTACTGTACATGGTTATTGTGTTAACGTGGAATATATATCTAAAGTAACCTAGTACTAACATAGTAATTATCATAGTATAGTTATTCCATAAAACACAGAATAATAGTAAATGCTGTAATAATATTCTATAATAAATATTCTTTTAAAGACAACAATATTATCTCATTGAAGGCACTCGTATACAGTTATGAACCTGATCAAAATAATGAGTAACTCAGAACAATGAATGATTAGTTCTAACTGGGAACCTTGGATGGGGCTATATAAAGGAAATATCTCAAAGAATAAGCTAAGATTCTCATAGAATTTAAGGGAGTTCCTCTCATTCCTGGAAAGATCAATGTAAGGAAAGTTAAAGGAAAGGGAAGTGAGAGGTGTGTTTGGAGAATGGTAAAGATGGTGATTAGTGAGTTTGGTATGTTTATGGATGGACAATTTTCTTGGAAAAACACTCTAAAAGAAGATCAAGGCAAAGAGTGGAGAGCTTTAAAATCCAGAATAAGGAAACAAAATTTACTCCAAATGTTCCTGGACCTAATTCTTGCAAGATATTAGAATGTTGACTAGGAGATGCAGCCCCTGTTAGAACCATCTTTAAATAAAGGGTTGGAAAACAATCACTTGGCCCTTTCATTTGGCATTTTATTGTTTTTTTTAATTGACTCCAGCAGGTGGTGTGTCTCACTAGTGCACTCCAGCAGGTGGTGTGTTTCATTAGAAATGAGTGTCGGTCTCTCCCATTTTAGAAGCACAATCCCTTGTCTTATAAGATGTTAATGAGGATCTGGCTCTTGTGTGATATGGATAATGACAGGCATTACCTGCCTTCTGTCCTGTTTCACAGCCATACCCAGGTTCTACCACACAGACTTATTCACTTGTTTTAGGATCAATGTTCTTTTCTAATTTCATCTGAACTCTGACGTCTCTGGGTGGCCTTACTAAAATTCTGTTTCTGTGTTTCCTCAATACTCAATTAAAGATTTGTTGGCTTCATTTTTAGCTTTTCTGCCAATCTTATGGGACTTTTACTATCAGTTCAATTTATCATTTTTCAGTTTAGGATAACAAGGTAACAATAGCTTTCTTTTGTCTTCTAACGAAAGGGTACCATTGCTATTCAGACCAGAGGGGCTCAGATCCCCTCAATCAATATATACAGATCACTTAGGATGCAATTTCACTTTGCTTTCTCTGTGTTCATCTTTCTTGTACTTTCTCTGTCCTTTATCCACATTTTAAAAAATTCCATCTTGATTACAATTCGAAACTTCCTTTCAACCCACTATTTAGGAATTAAAAATCAATTCACCTTGATAAATCTTACTATCTTCCCTTAGGA